GAATCCTGAGCAGCTACGCCATGCTGAGACAATTACAACTACGCTGGAGCGGCCATCTCGTGCGGATGGATGAAGAGCGGCTACCCAAACGACTCTTCTATGGAGATATCGCCGCCGGCCCCTGCCGACGAGGACAAGTCCGGCACAACAAGGGCACTCTGAAGACTTCCCTGAAGAGTCCGCAGATCAACCCGGCAAACTGGGAAGAGCTCGCCCGGGATCGACCGGGCTGGAGGAGGACAGAGAAAACAGGCGCAGCGATCTACGAAGTCGACAGAAAAACTGCCGCCAAAACCAGATGATAGGCTCTCAGCCGTCCCCAACTCGCAACGCCGACGCTTAACCGTCCCCAACCTGCCCACGATGTCAGCTGACGTCCCGCGCACCAATCGGCCTTATAGGACATCTTCATATCGACTGCAGAACCCGGACTACATCGGCCGCTGTCTCCCCGTCCATCTCTGATTCGTTCCCAACGCCTACAACACTGACCGCACTCTCAAACCCCCACTGTCATCCTCATCTTCCTCATCCATTGCCTCAACATCGGCGGCGGCGGCGGCGGCCAACAACAACAACAACAACAAACATCAACCTTGTCAATCGAAGCGAAGATATGAGTCCCAAGAAGCAGTCTTGAGGAAGGAGACACGATCGTTGGGACAAGAGCCAGTGGTATCCGGCCTTTATCGCCGGCTATGAGAGCGTGTCGAAATAACCAGATACATCGTCGTCGACTTTGGCGCCATAAGGGGCATTAAACAGAACAACGCTGAGGTCGGCGATACTTGGCATAGTTAGTCGTATTAAATCGGCATGACGGAACCTCTTATTTTGCCTTTAGGCTCCATCTATCGTTCAGAACCAAATCAGTCGGAAATGCGATTGACGTTCGCGGTATTCCAAATAAAGCAGGAGCCTTTTCAAAGGTCCTCTATGGCTCAAAATGCGCTCACTAGGGCAGACACTCTCCTTTGCTGAGAGACTGGAAAACTGCAGTGGTAGCGGTGTGCCCTAATAACTACAAAGTAATCTCGCACTAAATGGTAAGTATGGAAAACGGGAAAGGGACTGCGGGTACAACCGTCTTTTAATTGCAACAAATCAAAATACTCCTGCAGAGAGGTTAAACTCCTGGGGCTAGATAAGTGCATTACTAAGTAACGGGATGATGCGTATA